GGTTTTCGCGAAATTTGTATCATTTCATCTTCTCTCTTCTTCTCTCTACTCTCAAACTTCTCTCTCGAGGCGATATCTCGTGAGACGACGACGACGGTGGTTTCTCGATCTATCCGACGCCGGACTTTCTCCTCCATTAATTCAGGTAAGGCTCGAGTACTTTCACGGTTTAATAGAATCAATTTTTCTCTCAAAATCGATCTCGAGATATCCAAAATTAGAACTAGGGTTTCAGAGTCGAAAATGAGTTTTGAATTTGTGTTGTAAATCTGTATACATGTTCGATTTATTTACCGGGGATTTGAAATCGATTTCGGGGGTTTTGGAGTTAGGGTTCAGAATCGATTTGGGGGTTTCGTGTTAGGGTTCTAAATCGATTTTGGGGGATTCATTATATGGTTGTAAATCGTGATGAGGGTTCGTTTTAGGGTTCTTTTCATCGGGGAATCGAAATCAGTTCACGGTTTCAAGTTAGGGTCCTTACTGGAGTTTGCCCTTTGGAGATAGAGTTGTAAATCGATTAGGGGGATTATTTTGACGGTTGTAAATAGTCTTGAGGTTTGGTTTAAACTTTTTGTTTCGTTTTTACGTTGTAATAAAAAATTTTTCCTTGTTCAGATGGATCCCGCGGAAGAGATAAGACACACAAAGAGGCATAAGGACTATATGAACATGCTAGGATACATTGCCGATTCTGAATACGGAATTCCCACAAGGTGTCCGTGTGGTGGCCAGATTATTGATGAGGTCCAGGGGAAGGAGGAGTACGACACTATGTCTGGCAAGCGGTTTTTCACGTGCAAAAACTACGAGGTGAGCAACTCTATCTGTTTATTTACAAATAAAGTATGAAATGGGAAATTTATAAAAACCTATTCTGATGTGTTTTTATGCTGTAACCTAGGGGGATGGCTTCCATTACCGGCAGCCATGGGTGATTGGTGTCTAGGAGGAGCTCCAACGCATGACTAAGCGTTTGGAGGAGGCTGAGGAGGTGATCAACGGGGTGCCTCTTCTCAATAATAAGATTGAGACACTGGAGGTTAATGAAGTTAAATTTAAAGTCTGTGTTATTTGTCTTTTATATTATTAAGTAAGTGATTTGTTGCTTTGGTGTTTCCATTTGTAGGCACAGGTTAAAATCCTCACTGTCCAGGTTGATAACCTCCATGTTCAGGTCATTGGCATGGAGAAGATGGAGACGCTGCGTAAGCGTTTGGAGGAGGCTGAGGATGTGATCAAGGGAGTGCCAGAAATTTGTAAAAAGATTGACACACTGGAGGTTAGTGAATCTCAATAACGTAGTTATGTCTCATTGTATAGTTAGGTAATTATGAAGACACTAACGCTGCTTGTTTGCGGTTTCAATGTTCAGGAACAGGTTGGATTCCTCACTGGCCAGTTAGATAACCTCACCACGCATGTCAAAATCCTGGAGAAGCTCTGCTTCGAATGAAACCGAAAGGTAAACTGAACTCATACTGAACTCATAATCTACCATTGTAGTTCATAACCTAAATAAAATTTAAAACTACACCTACACTATAGTACATGCAAACGAACTACAACTGGAAGTAGTTGTAGTTCCTAAACTAAAGCTAACTTTTAAAACTGAGCCTACACTATAGTACACTTAAACGAACTACAACTGGAAGTAGTTGTAGTTCCTAAACATAACTAGAACCCAAATTATTTTAAAAAACTTGACAAACTAAAAAAGAAGTACAAGGTAGTTGTAGTTAATTTCTTTCAAAAACTGATATGATAGGTAGTGAATGCTCTGTGTAAATGTGGTTGTGTTATTAACATGAAGTAGTTGTTATGAATGTTCGATTTGAACAAGTTAATTTCTTTCAAAAACTGATATTATAGGTAGTGAATGCTCTGTGTAAATGTCGTTGTGTGATTAATTATAATAAATGTCTGAGCGAAAACAAGTTTAAAACAGACCTAAACCACTTCTAAACGCAGAACAACGTAAAACACAAACAACCAAAAACCAAACTAAACAACTCAACGACAGCCAAACAATGGATCCTTTTTCCCAAAACTCTCTCGGGTTTGTTACCCTATTAACCTCACAGAGCAGTCACACAATAGACTTAGAGTCTCCTGAGCTCCCTAGGTTTAGTAGCCAGAACTCTGAAGATCCTAAACCAGTGGAAAGGAGAAAGTGGACAACGAAAGAAGACATTATTCTCATCGGTGCTTGGTTAAATACCAGCAAAGATCCGATAGTGAGTAACGAGCAGAAGGTAGGAGCCTTTTGGAAGAGGATTGAGGAGTATTTCAATTCTAGCCCTCAGCTCAATGGCTCGGCTCCTAGAGAGGCAAGTCAATGTAAACAGAGGTGTGGAAGGGTGAATGAGCAGGTGTGCAAGTTTGTGGGTGGCTATGAGGCCGCATTGAAGGACCAAGCTAGTGGCACAAATGAGAATGATGTCATGAAGGCTGCACATGTCATCTTCAAAAATGACTATAATGTAAAGTTCTAGCTTAAACATTGTTGGGGGGAACTTCGGTTTGATCATAAATGGAGATCAAACTGTTTGTCCAAAGATGGTGCAAAGGAGAAAAGGAAGGAATATGCTGCGCCGGAGCCTGACATGGAAGAGGTGAGGCCTCCTAGTGTTAAGGCTTCTAAAGCAGGCAAACACAAGAAGCATGAGAGTGAAGCAGCTTATGATCAGTTATAGAGCATGCTTGATACGAAAGAAAACATATCCAAAAACAAACTGCTTGAGCGTCTCATTGCCCCAAAAAATCAACTAACTGATATAGAAGTAACTCTGAAGAATAAACTCATTGCGTAATTGCTTTGATCTCGTAAGTTAGTTGTTTGTTCTAACTTAGTGCCTGTGAAACTGGTTTGGATTTAGTTTAACTTAGTAGCTCTGAAACTGTTTTGTTAATTGTTATTGTTTCAAATTGTTTTGTTAATTGTTATTGTTTCAAAATGTTTGGTTGATTGTTATTGTTTGAAACTTTTTGGGTGATTCTTCTGTTTTTTCCTGCAGGTCACAGGAGATTGTCTTTTTCTGTAGGTCACGGGAGCTTCTCTTTTTCTCTACGGCAGAGGAGCTTGTCTGGTTCGCGGGAAAAGTGTAGTATTTTGTCTTTGTTCTACACTTTGTTTTTTCATTCACGGGTTGTACTTGTCTATCTAGTTGTTGTAAACCATGTCCCTCAAAAAACTCTATATAACTATGTCTCTCAGCTATTGTATCGAACAACTATGAATCATAAACCTTCAACTCATGTTCTCTCTTCTCGTTCTATGTCTTCAACCTGATACAATTAAGCAAAATTTTCTCTCTTTTCCTTCTCTTCTATTATCAAAATTCCTTCTCTTGAACAAGAAATATTGTATTATCAAACTTGTTCTCTCTATTCAATCTTAAACACTCAGCCTTATTCGTTCAAGATAACCCACAAACACGTAAAAAAATATAAATGATGTCTTCCTCATCGTCTGATGGTGTTGATGAAAGAGTAGACGAAGCTTTTGAAGAAATTTTTGACGAACAATTTGATCATGCATTTGAGTCAATATTTGATGTCCAAGCAAAAACGTCAAAGAGACGAGCTTATATCGAAAGAAATCGGGAACAAGGTCACAATATACTATGAAACGACTATTTCAGGGAACATCCTACATACCACCGACAATGTTTAGGCGGCGTTTTCGAATGAACAAGTCATTGTTCTTTCGCATTGTCGTTCGCCTAAGTAATGAAGTTCCATACTTTAAGCAATGAAGAAACGCTCACGGAAGGTACGGGCTATCTGCACTTCAAAAGTGTACCGCAGCTATACGTATCCTCGCATATGGTCAATCAGGAGATACGTATGACGAGTATCTCTGACTTGGTGAGAGTACATCACTTTTTTGTTAGGAAAATTTCACTTATGGGATAATACAATTGTTTGGAGATGAGTATCTAAGGAAACCTACACCGGATGATCTTTAACGATTACTCGATGTTGGAGAGGTATGCGGGTTTCCCGGGATGATAGGCAGCATCGACTGTATGCATTGGGAGTGTAAAAACTACCCAACGGCTTGGAGAGGGCAGTACACACGTGGTTCAGGAAAGCCGACAATTGTCTTAGAGGCCGTGGCATCACATTACCTATGGATATGACACGCTTTTTTTTGGAGCTCTAGGTACCCTCAACGATATTAATGGGCTTGATCGATCACATGTTTTTGATGATATTTTACAAGGTCGAGCTCCTAAAGTTAATTTTAAAGTCAACGGCCACAATTATCGTATGGCGTACTACCTTACCGACGGAATTTATCTTAAATGGTCTACGTTTATCCAATCCATCTCACTTCCTCAAGGTCCTAAAGCAGAGGTATTTGCTGAACGTCAAGAATCCGTCAGAAAAGATGTTGAACGTGCTTTTGGAGTATTGCAATCTAGGTTTGCAATAGTAAAAAACCCAGCTCTACTATGGGACAAGGAGAAGATAAGAAGGATTATGAGAGCTTGTGTCATTCTGCACAATATGATAGTAGAAGACGAACGAGACAAATACACTCAGTATGATACATCTGACTTTGTAGCAGGAGAGTCGAGCAGAGGTTCCCAGGTTGATTTATCGTACTCTACGGAAACCCCTTCCAATATCTGTAATATGCTTGGTGTTCGCAATCAAATTCGGGATAAACGGATACATGCTCGTTTGCACACTGACTTAGTCGGAAATATATGGCAAAATTTTGGTAATCAAGACCAATGATCTTTGTATGTTTATGAATTCTCAATGTATTGAATAAAAATTTTAAAAAAATTTAATATTAATTTCTTTCCTAAGAACCCCATCTGCAGGTTCATTAACGGATGAACAAAAAAATTACAGGTTCAACACTATTCAGGGTCCCACCGAAAATATATTAAACAAATCTCATAAACCTAAGGGGAGATTTACTAATGGGGATGCCCTAGGAAAGAAGGTTGAGGATGAACAGCGGAAGCAGCTGCGTTATTAACGTGAAGAGCTCTTTGAAGTTTCCGTTGATCGAAAACTTCAACTCCAACATTAAATATGGAAGTCACCGGCCGATGATCGGACATCCTTATATCCGATCTCTTATAACATTCTTGTCTTATTCCTTTTCCCAACCATAATATTCTATCACACCTGTTAACACACACAACAATAATCACACAAGTTTCTAAATTTTCAGAACTCTGAGAACGTACAATTTTTAGTCACTTACCATGCAGGAGCTCTCTTCTTCTCTCCTTCTTTCAAGTTTTCTCCGGCGTAACGGTCAGAATCAAATTCGTATTTATATGTAGGAGGAAATTTGATCGGTCCTTCTCTCCATCCATCAAAGACATGCCCTCTTCGAAATTCTCTAATCAACTGTTAAATTAAGTAAAATTGATATTTGTTTTAATATATATTAACAAAGTGATTACACATATATATGGGTGACTATTCAAAACCGAACCTGATCACTGTTCTTGAGTTCATCCCATCGTTTCTGTGCGACAAGCTTTCTTACATCACTGTCTAACATGTTAAGTCTGTAGTTCAGATCACCAAACCAGAATACCTGACTGTTGTTGAAGGAAAATGCAACAAAAAATTAAGTAGAAAGATTTAAATGTTTCTTGCGTTTTTATTAATATATTTGATTGATTGCTTACTCGTGACATGGAATGGTTCTCGGTTGATCGGTATCAAGAACCGATGAGAAACGAGTACGACGTATGATTTCATACACGTCAGCATTCCGGCGCTGCTCAGCACCTTCTTTTTGACCGGAAGTTAAGTGCGAACACACGAAACACATTCTTGATTGATACAACGTCATGCTAATCGATACTGATCCCTGCTTGGGAAAGAAGTTAGGGTTAGGAGTTTTTACTATTATTAATATTACTTGGGAAAGAAGCTAGGTTAGAGTTTTTTTTTAATTACTTTGTTTCCCATGTAGCCCATCAAGCCAACTCCAACGGGCGATACTTTAAGATTGTTGACGTGTCTTCTTAACCGCCGTCGGATCCATACAGATACATAGATCCCAACCATTTGCTTACTCACTATCCTCACATACTTTTGAGAATCTTTCACTTTCCGACATTCCTCCACCAAATCTTCCGGCAATCCATAAGTATTTCCAATCTTGCCTCCTTCTTCTTTGTCATCATCGGAAGATGACTCACCGTCCATTAAATCATCAGACATAACTTTCGCAGCTTCTTCGGCTTCAGACAAGGAGGAAGAAATATTATCATTCTCTTCTTTGATATCATCCCAACTCAGCTTTAGTGTCTCAAAGCTCCTCGACCGTTTCAAGTTTCTTGCATCCAATGCAAACCTACTCACTCCCGTTGGAGTCTCCGGTAGCTTAAACCCCAGCATAGCGTTGCTGCTCAACACTCTCCTTAGCTTCCCCTCTGATCCAACAATCTGAGGATTCTCGTCTAAAGCTCGTTCAGGCCAGTCCATGTCCGGATTCCCTACTGGTTCAAGACTAGGTAAAGCAGTTGCTGCATCGATAAACTCATCTGTAGCTAGGTCTAAGGAGTGGTCAGAAGCAAGATTCTCGACCATGACATCAGCGATAATGGAACTTGCTTGTTGTGCTAAGACGGGAGACGACGGTGCGCTGTGAGACCTATGGAGAACGTTGTTGTTGTTTGGTGATTGATCATAGACCGATTCTTTTTGGGACTTGTTCAGTGTTCTACGGATTATCGATTCCCATTTCGGAATCGCCCCTCTATCTTCTGCTCCGAAGACGTTTCCGGCGTTTAAGGGTACCACTTCTTGAAATCTGTAACAAGACCGTGGAATATATTTGTCAAAAAGAAAAAGACCGTGGAATATAGATTCATCAAAACAGAGGAACATAATACTATATGAAAATGTTCATAGTAATATCATAAATTAATAATTATGTGTATATACAAATGATATAGACATAACTAAAACATTATATTATTCATTTTTCGTTTTTAAAAAAAAGTATTCGCTTTTCTTCAGAACAAAATCTATCTTTATTTGTTTTTAAAATATATTAATATCATTTTGTACAATATTTTGTTTAATTAACGGTCCAATATATAAAATTTAGTAAATATCTATGGTTGTAAAATAATTATATTTTATTTTAAATAATAATAAAAAATATATATATTTAAATAATAATTCTATAAACTAATAAACTATATACTATAACTAACTTTGTTGTTGGTGACAAAAAAAAAAAAAAACTAACTTTGTTACTTTATAAAACTTTTAGTGTTTTTATTTTTACTTACCCAATGATGTAGATATCTGAAGGGTTATCAGTAGAAAGCCAATCGTCAATGTCAAGATCATCGGAAGGACGTTTCCCGGCGACGTTCCATGTAGCCACCGTCACTCTATATGTCATTTTTAACGAATACAAAAACGTCAAGGGAGATATTTTCACTAGAGAAAATATACAAAAATACAAAAGTAACCTTACCTGATGTCCTTTGTGTTTATGTATTGGACTCTCAAAGTCTCCGATTTGCCTCGCCGGTGTTTTCTCTGGTAACCCCTCACACTACCACCTGAAGAATTATAAATAAGTAAATACAAAGTATAAAATTATAAATTACTCAATATAATTTATATATATATATATATATATATGTTTTTTAAAACAGAATCTTTGCCTAAAAGTTTGCTGCCGCGGTCAGCTTCTCTTCCTCGGCGGCCGCCACAGCTATCTTCATCATCTACGCAGCAGGCATTAGATACGTTTTTGACCGAACATACTGTAAAAAGGACCCATAAGATCAGATTAATAAAAGATATATCTATAGACAAAGTTTGACCGAATTTAAAGAGAGACGATTCTTGAGAATAATAGTAAAATACTTACCGTCATCTTCGCTCTCATTCTCTGTATCTACTTCGTCTTCGCTAAAGTCGTAAACTTTGGGCTTTATGTTCAGCCATTTATTCATGACAATCGAAGGCCAAAACTTCTGTTCTCGTCAAGAAAAGAAAAGTCAGAATCTTTGAATAATATTAATAATAAATAAATAAAAATAGGGAGGGCATGCAAGGCATCGTACTTCAGGGCGTTTCCCGCGTCTTGTTTTCATTTTCTCCGATGAGACAAATGTTCGATATAGTTTCTTCTTTCTGGGGGAGTTTCGAGGAATATTTGGACAGAAGAGATGTCGGAGTTATGATATTTATAACAGTGACAGACAGGGCTTCAAGAAGACTACACACGAACAAGAACAAAGAAGAAAGACACAAAATAAAAGTGGCATCAGACAAGAAGACGTGTGGATGAAATTATACAAATTAAAAAGGCGTAATGATGAAAATTCACTGATATTATTTTGGGGTTCGTTTGAAGAAAAAGCCATAAAGCTATGGCTGTTATTTAACAGCCTTCCGGAACCAAACTCCAACTTGCAAGCCACTTTTTCAATAATAATTTTTGGATTAATTTGGGGAAGACATGTTGGAGAAAACTATAAAGACCATCAGATTTATTTATCTGTTTGTTTGTTCTTCCACGTGTTTCGAGAAAATGGCTGTACAGCCCCTGCATCTGTTTCTTATTTCTCAAATGTCCCTACTTTTTTCTTTTAATTTTATATATCAAACGAAAAATCATAAAACTAAACCGGAAACGTCAACATTTTTTATTTGATTTATAGAATTTGATAAAAATATTTCAAAAATCAAAAAACTGTTTTTCATATTTTTCCGAAAATCATCAAAATATGATTAAAAACGATTTTAAAATATTTTTTTTTTGAATTTGAAACAGATAGAATTTAAAGATTTACCCATGGGTTCACTGATCCATAGGAGGGGGGTTTTGTTTAGTTTTGATCGTTTGGGAATGATTTATTTAGAATTTTCATAAAATGATGAAGGGTATGAAGATTAGTGGAGGGTATAAGTAATTTAATTTTTTTGAAGAAGGGCATCTGAGCCATTGACTCACGTGTTTCCCGGTTTTTAATATATTTAGATTAAATCGGTTCTCTAGATTTGGTTATACAAACCTAAAAGCATATGCAATAGTGTACTCCATTCATGGATCCTTAACATTATTTTAGTTTTTTTTAGATAGTTAAGAATTCGAAGCAAAACTGGTCGTTCAATAGTGTTCTCAAAAATGGAGTTCTTAGAAATAAAAAAAATAATATGTTTTATATTTTTAAAAATTGAAATAGAAATTTTATTAATTGCTTGAATAAAAAATAATAATAATTTTTTTCGTTTTCGGTCGAAAATGACCAATATTTTTTAAACCAACCCAAACACAAACCGAACCCGTCCCACTCACACACTGCCACGTACACAAGGATCAGCTCCTTAAACTCCTTCCCGAAAGACCAATCCTTGCCAAAATTAACATAATAACTATTATTATATTAAAACTAATCTAAGGATTAGAGACAAGGATTTCTCATGGACCCCTGTTGCGGGTGGTCTAATCCGTAATCTTATTCAGTACCGGTCTAAGCCAATTCAAATCTTATACTCTTATATATATAGTATAATCTTTTTAAATTAATACTCTATAAATTAATATACATTAAAAATATCTATAAAATAATATAATTTTATAGTTTCAAATTGAAATTTTAGTTCAATTAGTATATCGATAAATTAATAATCTCTATAAATTAATAAAAAAAATTATAGATTTGGTATAGTCTCAACATTATTAATTTATTGTGTATATATATATATATATATATATACATTAGATTTTGATCCACGCTTTTAAAATGTGAAATATTTTATGATGTATAACTCTATTAACATATTTCTTGTTTTGTTAATTTAAAGAATTTTATCGATTTAAAATATTCTATTTAAATTAGCGATTTTAAACCTAATTCAGACCCGCGTTCAAACTGATAAACCTGGTGCTTTGACCTGTTTAGGTTTGAAGAAATATCCATTAATTAAAATTTTGATGTAATCCGCAAAAAAACTAAAATCAAAATCTGCATATTGAAGCAATGGTGACCGATATATAATTTAATATTATTTAAATTGTTGTTTTAAAATATTTTATATCTGAATTAGATTTTTAAATAATTAATAATTTTAATTTTAATATTATTATACTTTTTATATGTCGTAACTCCAACTTGTTATAAAAATTGTTTAAATTATATTTTTATGTGAAATTGACAAAACAGAAAACAGATTTTAAAACTTCACCATATTTTTAAACATGATTTTTTATTTTTAGTTATAATATATTCATAATTATATATTAACATTAATTAAACTACTAATCATAATAAATGACTGATAAGTTAAGAGCAACATTATTAAGAGTCTCTCACCCAATGTATCACATATATAATATTGAAAAAAAGATTTAAAAAAAAAACTGAAGAGAGATGATAGAATATGAAGAATCGATTGTTGGGGAAAAAGCATTCAGCACTTGTAGAGAGAACTTTTTAACATGTGTCATCACATTAGTGGAGTTATTTCTTTTAGTAATACTAGATCTATTTTCCGCGTTACGAGTGGATAGTTTACTTGGAAGTTTTGTCAAGTAATGAATATTTACGCATGATGTAAAATGTAAAGAACTTATAAGCTGATAAAAGAAATTAAGCTGAAGGTATTGTATTTTTTAGATCATCCGATTGGCTTGAGTTGACGGCTACGTTGCACGGAAAATTCAGCGGATGTGTGCTTCCCGCTTCAGAATCAGAATCGGAATCGAAACCTTGTAGAAAGCTTATGGAATCTCGATTCCACGATGCTTCTAAAATAATCTATAGAAAAACCCATTGGAAGCTTACGATTCCACTTTGGAATCACGCTTCTAATTTTAAAAACACAATGTCATATATAAATAAAGAAAATATAAAATTATTTTATTTTATAGTATATAATAGTATATATAGTGAGAATATATATATATATATATATATATATATATAAGTAAATCATATGTGTGCACTGTTTTTATTAGAGATATATCATATATAGTATATTCAAATATTTTATGCCAATTATTTATAAAATATTGAAAATAACTAATTGGTAATATTTATTTATACTTAATTTATTTTTTTCACAATTGCAATATGCAATCATTTAAATGATTATAAATGAATAAATACGTTATTTAAATTAGAATCATATAATTCTTAGTTATAAAATTTATAAAATTTCTTATATATATATATATATATATATATATATATATATATATATGTGTGTGTGTGTGTGTGTTTGTGTGTATATATATATATATAAATATACGTTTCCAACACGTATCCGCTTTTTTTTTTTAAATATTGATTCTGCGTTTCCATACGATTCCGCTTCTTCGCATCCACTTCCGTTTTTCGTGTAACATAGGTTGACGGTAGTATTTGGCTATATCTTTAAAATTATATGAAGCTGTAATTGATATTATTGATATTTTTAAGTAGAAACTTGTTCCTCGAGTAAACTGATGGTAAGATTGTGGAAAAAGTGTAGAAAATCTTTAAAAGCTAGTGATTGACACAATTAAAAAAATTTACATATGAAAAAAGTTTAACCAATACATAAATTCAGTTTTATGCCATTATACATGTGAGACTATTTCAAGGAGAGGTCTAATAGCAGTAATTAAAATTGTACAAAGTGGAGGCCTTGAAGGGGGTTAAGAAACAATTAGTCCCTTATAAATTTGAATGCATATTTAAGCATCATCATATAGTAAAAGGGAAGACGTACTTGGCTTTAATTAAGTTGGGATCTTTGTTCTTGGATGCATGGTTGAAAATATGATACTTCGTAGACGTCTAAATCTTGGTGGAGTTTCAACGTTGTAAAATTAGCAGTTAAATCAGCAACGTATTTAAATTAATTTTAGGTAAATTTGTTTTATTAACTTCAGATAATTGTAGATTGTAAAGATTCTTTTATACCCTATGTTATTTACTTTTAGAATAGGTGAATATGTTCTTTATATAATTGTCAATCAGATTTTGTTAGTAACACGTGAAAATGCCACATACAATTAATTATCCATGAGTGAAGAAATATCTTTTTGTCAAACATAAAAATGAAATACTTCATTTTCTTAAGAAATATATTTTTGTCAAACAACTTCAATCTCATTAAGAATACCTTTGCGGTGTCTTCTCCTTCTCATAGATAAAACCGCTTCTTCCACAGTAGCAGCTTTATCCACTCTCATATCTATGATACCTCTATCACCCAAAACATCCTTCAACACACCCCTCTTCGACCACTTATCAAACCAAAAAGAAGTGTGTCTACCACTACCCAATTCTTTCATAAAAAATGATCCGGCAACCTCTCCAAGTTTCAACATCTTGCGCCAAATCCAAGATCCCACTTGCGTTTTAGAGCTTACTTCCCAAAAGTTTTTTCCTTTCAGTAGCTCCATATGAACCCACTTGCCCCAAAGAGATTTCCCAGTTAGCATTCTCCAGATAAGCTTAAGACCATAGACCTTATTCACAACTTTAAGATCTCTAATCCCCAGACCTCCTTCTTCTTTGTTACTACAGACATCCCTCCACGCCACCTTTGCATTAGTAGATTTTAAGCTTGGCCCAGTCCACAAAAAATCTGAACAAAGCTTCTCCAACTCTTTTACACATTCACTTGGAAGCTTAAAAACAGCGAGCCAAAAATTAATTATACTCATAAGAACAGCCTTGATTGCATACGACAAATATCTTCAAGTCCAAGTGCTTATCGTTCCCCTAATCCTTTCCACCAGAAGAAAATAATCTTGTTTCCTCATAACCTTAGTCATAAGAGGAAGGCCAGGATACTTCACCGGAAGGTTACCTTTCGCAAAAGGAAAGTTACTCAGAATATTACTCTTCTCAGACTCCAAAACTCCAGCCATATAGATTGTTCCAAGCTAATACTCAAACCTGACCAGACTTCAAACTCATCAAACACAGAGAGAGCACCTTCAATAGATGTTTTTGAACCTTCCACAAACACCATCAAATCGTCTGCAAAACAAAGATGAGTGAGAGAAAGGTTTTGGCATCTCGGGTGAAAGCTGAACTTCCCATCCAACACAGCTTTATCAATATTTTTAGATTGGACGTTCATAAACAGGAAAAAGATACGGAGAGAGAGAGCATCCCTGCCGTAGCCCCCTTGAGCTTTGAAAATAACCAGCTAGATCACCGTTGACTTGCACCGAGAATGATGGAGTAGTTATACATAGTCTAAGAAGACTTTTGGACGATTTTTAAGGCGATTTTGGCGACTAGGTTACGATGGCTGGGGATACTACGGTGGGCTCATCGGAGCCGCCGGTGAGAGATTGTGAGTTGCGGGAGGGTCTTGAGATCGAACTGAGCA